TGCATAGCTCGGAGGAAACAAGCTGGAAGAGGAGTCAGTTATCAGGTCGGAAAGAAAGTCCTCCAACACTTCGATCGAAACTGCGGACTGAATTTATCTTAACTGAACGGCACCGCCGACTTACAGTGCCGACAGAGCAACTTTGAGGAAATCAAGCAGTGATTCATCGAATCGTGAACTCGTCGGCGCCTCCGTGATAATCCCTTCGCTTCATATGATACTTCGAAAATGAAGCGGTATGAGCACTAGCATCGGTCGGACATTGCGGGCGGGCGTGGTGGGCGGCCGGATCGGTGTGTTGCAGCTTGAGCGATGTAAGAGCACCTTCTTTAAGAAAGGCGCAACGCAACGCTTGCTGACTAGCGACGAATTCAGATCTGTTAGGCGTATTAATGCTTTACGTTTGGGGATGTATCGTGCCAACTGCCTTTAACATACCTGGATACTTTGACAGATCAGCTGAATTAATGCGGAAGCATACTCTCAACGCAGCATGTTCTCTATGGGTGAGCCGGAAGTAAACCGGATTTCTTCTTTCAATGACTGCATCGAAGCACCTGACTGCTCTGAAAGAGCAGGATGCTGGTCAAAAGATGACAAGCGGACGAGTCTTAGATATTAGCTGCGATTGTCTTGCTGATTGCAGGCCTTTTTCTCAACAATAGTATGGAATATCCTGTCTGGAACTCCATTCAAGTTGTCGCAGGAATTCTCGTGCCTTAATAGCTGGCTCACCCACTGGGAAAACACCGACTTTTTACTATTCATAAACTGTTGCGGGCTACTAGCCTTTGGTCTTCCTCTTCGTCAGTGGAACTGATTCATCTTAGTTTTTTCTGGCATTCCAGCATTTTACTCAACAAAGCCAGACATGTGACATCTTCAGGCTTTCGCACTTATACACGATGCTGTCGTGATTACATGTTCAGGGAGATGACTGGTATTACTAACCCGTTCCGTTATGAACATACAAATGCTTGGTAACGACCTTTGGTGTATGATTCCTTATTAGGTTGGCTAATAAGTAATGGCGGTTTTTTTCAATTGAAAAATTTGTTTGAAAAGTGAAAAGTTTTGCAAGCAAGTTATACCCTCGTCATCCGGGCAGTTGATTAGGGCGGTCGTCAACGAGCCGCAGCGCGTGCCAGGAACTATTTGCTTTTTCCAGGTTTAATTTAAAGTTTCATTTTTTCTTTTTTTTTTTTCCAACTTTTCACTGTTTTGGCTACTTTTTCCAAGATTAGCAGCTCCTTATCTTCACAAGGTGGAAAAAAATGACTAAATTAGCCTGGAAAAAGCAAATAGTTCCTGGCACGCGCTGCGGCCCGTTGACGACCGCCCTAATCAACTGCCCGGATGACGAGGGTAGTATGCATTGATAGAAGCGTTCTCTCGGTAAGTATAAGAAATAATCAAAAAAGCTTTGGTTGAGGATATAGTTTTTGTGAATTTTTTAGTCGTTGAAGTTGGAAGTGAAGTCGGCGAAAATTAGCATCTTCGACAACTGCCTCTATTTACGTCTACTCGAAGTGCTAAAATCGCTTAAGCTGCTCCATACATTCGGAAAAGGTTGAGGTAGAAGTCTCAGCAAGGGAATCTCAATAGGACGCTTTGGAACTAATTTCAAGAATTTCAAAGTGCACCATCACCTTGCCAATATTGGGCAGGCTCACGTCTGTTCCACCTGAAATTTCATGCTAATAGTTGAATTAATTGAATTTGAATTTGATATTCTAATACTACGAGAAGTTTGCTATTAAACGATATTAAGCTTGCTTGCAAAACGTTTGACTTTTGGAACGAATTTTTCGATTGAAAAAAACGGCCATTACTTATTAGCCAGCCCACTGCTAGTGGTAATGCTAACATCGTTTAATAGGAAACTTCTCGTAGTATTAGAATATCAAATTCGAATTCAATTAATTCAACTATTAGCATGAAATGTCTAAATAGAGGCAGTTGTCTAATTTTCGCCGACTCCTATTCTTATACTACGAGAAGTTTCCTATCAGATGATATATAACTTGCTTGCAAAACGTTTCACTTTTCGAACAAATTTTTCAATTGAAAAAACCGCCATTACTTATTAGCCAACCTAATAAAAAGATTCAGCTGCGACGAAAATCTGACTGTCCTATTTTGAAAAATCCTTGAGGTCTACTTAATATTCTGTAATCTGATAGCTGGCAGCCGAAATGATTTATTGAACCCGATAGTTTTAAATGAAATCCTTGAAAAGATCATAACAATGACAGAATAATCAGTGGTGAAGACGGTAGGCGCGGAGACGGTAGCGGTAACCGCCTGGGTGGAGGAGGTGGGGTTTTGCAATATCCCGGGAGGTGGTGGAGGAGGCATTCCCCCTGGAGGTGGTGGAGGAGGCATTCCCCCTGGAGGTGGTGGAGGAGGCATTCCCTCCTGGAGGTGGTGGAGGAGGCATTCCCTCCTGGAGGTGGTGGAGGAGGCATTCCTCCTGGAGGTGGTGGAGGAGGCATTCCTCCTGGAGGTGGTGGTGGAGGTCCTCCTGGTGCAGGTGGCTTGCCGTCGTTGTTGTATGCTTGCTGATCGCCACCACTGGAAGACATTGGAGGTGGAGGCTGGTTGGGCGGCTTCGGCATTCTCATAGCCTGAGGGCAGTCCAGCCAGTGCTGCGCCAGCAAGTGCGAGAAGAATAATACAGTGCATCTGTAAAGAAGAGTTTGAAAATTGGGGAATTTTCAGACAGTTAATATGCTTGTGAGGGGAAGAGAAGTTGGAGAGAAACCGTTAGAAGGGGAAGGGAAGTTCTATTGAAAGGAACTAATGCGTTGATCTCAAGAAATGAGTGTGATATTGCTTTCGAAAATCCATCCTTTTTATATAGGCGTGATGCAGGCCACGATTGTATTGTTTTCGATACTATAAGTTTTCTGTGACCCGTAAGTGGCGCGGAGCTATTAATCTCAATCATAAATGTGTTATTGACGTAATAAAACCCTTCAATTGGATCATTTATGTTCTTCAAATATCGCATAAAATTTCCACAGCATTTTTGAAAGGAGCATTTCGAATAAGCTTCCACGAGATACATTTGAAGAAAACTCATGGTCAATCAGAGCCTTGCTCGCGCTCTGAACGATTGCTATTTTTTTAATTGCATTGCCCAACGAAGGGGACTTCTGGATGGTCCGCGAAATTAGTAGATCAAAAATGTATACCATTAAGTCTTTCCATTCTAGCGAGCCCAATTTTAGAGAAAGTCCCTGCAAGGCAACTCATGAGTCTAACGTACATTCAGATACGCTCACGCTGGCTCACTGATGTTCCGACTAGAAGGTAAATATGAGAAAAATTCTAGAAAAAAAGTGTAACCATTGTGGCCCATTCAATGAAAAACCTAAACTCGGGCACTCTACAGCAGGAGATTAAATTTCTGCTAAGAATGCCACCGATTTGTTTGCAGTGCTTGCAAGGGTGAATTAGGTGCTGTAAGGTCCTAACATGGGACTATCAAAAATCCCAAGACTATCAATATCATGCATTGAAACAAAGCATGAAAGAGTTCGAAGCATAAATGTTTGGTTTTTTCACCATGTAATTTCAAGACCGAGTTTTGGGTTCTGAACAGTTTGGAACGAGCTACACATGTCAGTTTTATGAAAGATGGTGTCATCGTCTGGGAGGACAGCACAGGATTGTATAATACATCGGCTGGCCCCACATCTCATTATATAAAGGGGGGAGGGGGCAAAAAAACACTTTTTTTCTTCCTCGACTTTCGAGGCGCTATAAGTTACACTTTATTGAATTCTTATCGGACATTTCTACCACCATATTAAAGAGCATATTAAATACTATCATGACACTCCGCCACAGCCTTCTGGAGGAGCGCCATCGAGAGATTCTGCCACGCGAAAGGCGTATAGCGTATATTATGTAGTTGCTTCTCCCACTGTAATACACCTCTATTGACTCTCGCCCGAACCGCATATTTGATAGGATTTAGTTAAAGCGACCTACTTGGACCATCTTCTTTAGGTACTCAGCCCCCTTCCATTAGTAGGCGAAAGTTTTCTAAAGCCCCTCGATTCCATGTGGTAGCACCCGAACATGTAGCAATAAAAAAGTTTCCAAGATGGTACGGACGACGACATGTGAGGTGTATATTTCTTCCCGTTGCTCGATGTGACAGTGCGCTCACCTTCAGTCCCGGGTCTAGGATAAAAAAAATATTGGTCTTTCCATTCCAGGTACGTCCGGTCCCCACCATCAACTGGCGCCTTGGCGACTGAGGTGAAGATGATGTCCTAGACCGTAGCGACGTTGTCGGAGCTGCTCGATGTTGGAGGTCTTCCAGATCGAGAGTACTCTCCAGGTAGCTATCCATGGGTGACTCCATACTAGAAGTTTCGCAGCTGTTTGGAGGTGACGTGAATTCCAAAGGTCTTCTCCAGTCAGGCTGCGACTGGAGATGACTTCATATTTTGGTGTACATGAAGGTGATGGGCGAGAGCCAGCTCCTGCTTATCGAGGAACATCTTGGGTATCTTCCGCCCTGGTACTCGTATCCACGTCCTCTGTCTGGGCAGCGAAAACTTTGCTGATATGTGACTCGGTCGAAGTGACTTTTTTTGCCCCCCCCTGTACAACTTCTGGTTATATATATATAGAGATTGCCAGGTCGAGCAGAGTTGTGGGTTGCTATTCCGGCACGTCAAATAGAAGTTGCGAGATTGCCAAATCGCTTGATGGTGGCCTTCACACTCTGTTGCGTTCTGGGAATAGAATATTTAGCTATTGTTCTTGCACGTGCAAATGAACGATTATAGGTGAGTTAGGGAAAAGGGTGACCACATCGAGTGCAAAAGACTCTGGGGAGTTTGATTAGGGCTAATGATGACAGATTAAGTATCCAACTACTTGGCAATCAATCGAGTGAGTAGCGTTATTAATATTAAGGAAATCGAAAGGTGAAACTTTATGCATGTAATTTCGGCTCACCCTATGTGAAGGCACCAAGGGAAACGATTTGCTTGAAGAAAGGGCACTTAGCCACTATTTTGATTGCTATACACTTTCAACAACCTATAGGTTTCAGATGGATGTGGTCACGCTTTGAATGAAGTTTTTCTCGAAACCTATCGGTAAAACGTCCAACAGATGCTACACATTTCATTTTATTACGCGGAAGAACCCTAAGGCCGCGTTCATACCGTGCGACGTCGTGTCAACGTCGACGAAAGCTGCGTAAGCTGCGTAACCGACGACAGCTTCATGCAGACTAGATACATATCGATTTGACGAAAAAGCTGCGTAAGTTGCGTAAGTTGCGTGCAGACGTGGCGCCACGTGGCACCACGAGTGCCTTGATAACATGAGGTTCACAGTGAGAGCAGAGATGTTCCTAATAATCTTGGTTTATTCTTTTCTTCTTTCTTTCTCAAAATCGCCGAACTCTCTTCATTTTTGTTCTTACTTTCTTCCTCGAAATTGCCGTAGTTCCTTCCTATCAATTTGCTGTGTCATTCGTATATACAAGAGGGGGGGGGGGAGCAAAAAAAAGACATTTCGACCGAGCCACATATTTGTACACCGAAATATGAAGCCTTCTCCAGTCGGAGCCAGGGGAGCAGAAGGCCCGAGTATATGCGTCCTTTTTGAATAGTGCGCTCAATGCGAGTTTCCGCTGGACCTGAAACAAATCAAATGGTTTGCGAAAAAAATACGATATAAAATGAATTGCGAATGACTGATAATCAGACCGACGACAGGGAGTTGACATATAGGTGACAGGTGGATGTATATGAAGTAAATATGCTTATATACTAGGATGCCACGTCATAAGCCACGTCATGCTATTTTTCTCGAAAAACAGCAAGGATAGAATGCATTGAAGATAAATTGAGATGATTAAAGGAAATAGGAAAAGGAAAGAAAAAAATGAAAAGGGGAGAAGTATTCTCAAAATGCAAAAAATGCCCTACAGCCACC